AAACAAAAGCCTTGCTCATCACTGGGCTTTTTTGTTTGTTTGTTTGTTTGTTTGTTTTAGGCAGGGTCTCCCTGTAGCCCCAGCTGGCTTGTAACTCACAGAGATCTTCCTGTTTCTGTCTCCTGAGTGCTGGAATTAAAGGCACGCATCACCTCACCCAGCCTCACTGGGCACTCTTGAAAGGACTACTTAATTAGAACCCTGAAAATATGTACTGTAAATACATTTAAAAATGTGCTAGCTTCTGCAGAGCAGCCCACATAACATGAAAATGTTTAAGGCAAGGGCTTGTAACTCACAGAGATCTTCCTGTTTCTGTCTCCTGAGTGCTGGAATTAAAGGCACGCATCACCTCACCCAGCCTCACTGGGCACTCTTGAAAGGACTACTTAATTAGAACCCTGAAAATATGTACTGTAAATACATTTAAAAATGTGCTAGCTTCTGCAGAGCAGCCCACATAACATGAAAATGTTTAAGGCAAGGCATGATGATGCACATCTATAGTCCCAGCACTTGGAATTGGGAGGTAGAGGAGGATCCAGAATTCAAGGTTCCCCTTAGCTATACATTGAGTTCAGGGACAGCCTGGGCTACATGAGACTATACCTCAAAAAAGAAAAAAAAAACCACATTTATGTAAATTAAGTCAGTTCAACCTACATGTCCTAAAATACAGATTTAATGCCATTAACTTCAGAGCTAATGGGGGGATTGTTTACTCTAACCTTGTTACTTTTCAGATGGCAAAATTAACATTTATTTGTATAGCTTTTGGAGTATTAAAAATAAAATGCAGCTGGGTGTAGTGGTGCACACCTTTAATCCCAGCACTTGGGAGGCAGAAGAAGGTGGATCTCTGGTGAGTTCAAAGCCTGCCTGGTTCACATAGCGAGTTCCAGACCAGCTAGGGCTACAGGGAGATCTTGTCTCAAAAAGACCAAATAATAATAATAATAATAATAATTTAAATAAAACAAACATACATACATACAGGCAAAGTAGGCCAGGCATCTTTAATCCTAGCACTTGTGGGATTAGAGGCAGACAGGTCTCTGTGAGTTCAACTCATAGGCCAGCCAGGGCTACATAATGAGACCCTGTCTCAAAATACAAGAGTCATGCATGGTGGTGCGGGCCTTTAATCCCAGCACTCAAGAGGCAGAGTCATGCAGAGCTCTGTGAGATCGAGGCCAGCTTGGGACTATGCAGTGAATTCAGGTCTTCTGGAGCTAGCTACTGGAGACCCTGTCTCAAAAAACCAAAACAAACAAACATGCAAACTATATATACTCTTTTCACCAGTAATCCTTGTATACTTTTAACAGGTCCTTAAGATTGATTTAAAAATGACGGGCTGGGGATAGCTCAGTTGGTAGGATGCTTGCCTAGCAGGCACAAAATCTTCCATTTGATCCCCAGCACCACATAAACCAGTCGTAGTGGTGCATGTCTATAATCCTAGCACTGGGGAAGTGGAGGCAGAAGGATTGGAAGTTTGAGGCCAGCCTGGGTTACATGAGACTGAATTGATTAGTCAGTTTGACATGTGTTGGGCAATACCTGGTAACACAGAACTAGTGAAAGAATATGTACTGTTGTTACATGCATTGGAGAAGGCTTCTTGGAAACATGGGAATGGAATCACTCACACTGCTAACTGGGGATGCCAGAATTGGAGCTGCGCTGCTCTCTTCCCTGTAGGTTTATGTCTTCATAGCAATGAAAAGTACGTCAGAACTTGAGCTGTCTCTACTTTTTTCTATTATTATTTTTTACTTAAAATTTTTCTTTTTTACTTAAGTAGACTTAGAAAGTAAAATAACTTTCTTCGCATTAGGATTTTCTCTTTTTTTAA